AAGTTTTTTTTCCTTTTTTTTTTTTTTTTTTTTTTTCTTCTCTTCTTTTTTTTTTTTTTCCCCTTTCCCCATCAAGTCCAGTTCCCTGAACTGGCCTCATGCTTGGCTGCCTAAATGCTAGTGCTGACAAAAGGGAGAGGCTGAGATGTGAGGGCAGGATTGCTTTTTTCCATTGTCGGCGTGTGCTTTTGTCATATCGCGGTGACAGGAGCTGCAGCCCGAGTGTGCAGAGCGTGTCCAGCTGGATGCCTCCGAAACGGCTGAAGTAGCTGCTAGGGTTAATGGCAGAAGGAGAGACGAGGGTTTATACAACTTCCAACTTCTGCTTCTTAGGTCCTATTAAGTCATTTTAAGGGAACACCTGCGAGGTTGTCAGGATTGAAGACATGAGAGCTGTGCTCCCTTATCTTGAAAAGATTGCTCTTCACTTTCATGTTGTAATTTTTCTAAAAAAAAAAAAAAGTAGGGCTGTGCAATGTGCCAATATATTCAGATATTGGAATTGCTAAATTATTCTCCTTTGCTACTGAATAATTCACAAGGGTTGTAATATCCCTTTTTGACACTTTTCCCTGCCTCCTTACAGTGGAATAAATGAAACTCGAACAATATTTGGGTGATAAATTATCGGGAAGGGTGGTATTGGGATGAAAGCCCTGCTGCCGCTTTCCCTTATTGTCAAAGCTGCTGATGTGCTTCTTTCTACCTGTTTACAATGTTTTTATGGTATTAACACTTTGTGTAATAGCGATGATTGATCAATGGGAATGTGTGATTTTTCTAGCATCAGGATTTAGTAGTGGAAGCAATAAGTAGATTCCCAGGAATGGTGCAATGAAATTGAAATGCTAAATTTCCAGGGAATTACTTAAAAAAAAAAAAAAAAGGGCAAGAGTAATTTTACAGTACATTGAGAATCTTTTAAACTAGATCCTACTGAGTAACAAAAAAAACCTTGAAGATGATTGTAATAGTGGCTGCTGGGGATGAAATAGTTGGTTTGGCTTCCACTGCCACCTCGTGGTCCCTTAAACTAGAGCACGCGATGCTGTACAACATCTGGTTGGATGTTAAAAACACTGCAGCACTGAAACTTCCTTTCTGGCTGCTGTTATTAGCCGTAGTTCATGATACCTGTCTCCTCCCTCACTGCATAGTGTGCTCCTGGCGTTTCTGCTGGGTCCCCGCAGCCAGCGGAGTTGGTTTCACTGGAGTTGAGCTGGTTTCCGTGATGTTTTCACCCTGGAAGCAGTACAGTGGATTGCTCAAATTGGTGTAGAAACAACAGTTTGGAGGGGATGGTAATAAATTAGAACTAAGTTTGGAGGCAAGCGAGCTAGTTGGGCTAGGCATCCTTTCCTTGCTCAGTGATCGGGGTGAGGGATTGTCGGCGCGTTACGATAAAGACACTTTTGAAGAAGGCTTTGATAATTGTGCTAGATCGTGTGCTAGTCATCTTTCACATGTCAAAGGAAGGGTTTTTTCACTTGGACATTTTTCAGATGCTCGATTTCATCGCTTCAGGCTATTTGAAACTAGTGACGTGAAGGGTTTTGGTGGGAGTTGTTGGTGCTGCTGCCCTGGGGCGCTGAGCTACGGCGTGGCCAAGTTTCCATAAATTTATTTTTTTTTTATTCACCTTGCATTTTGTATATTTTCTGTAATTCCAAGAACTGCATTCAGTGATGTATGATGTTGTAGAGTGCTCAGATGTTTCTGTCTCACTGTGCTTTGTGCTCTGTGCTGGTTTTCCAGATTAGAAAGGTTAAGATTCTTTTTCTTTTTTTCCCTTTTATGGGGGGTTAAGTCTGTCCAGTCCAGCCCTTCCAACTCCAGCTCCAGCTCCGACTCCAGCTCTGACTCTGATTTCGAGCCATCTCAGAACCACAGTCAAGGTGTGTTGCAAGAAATACAATTTGTTAAGATCTTCCTTGCATAACCGTAAAAGGCTCATGAGAATTAGATCTCTTTTCCCAGCACTAATACGGTTTCTTGTACGCAACCATGTGTTGAAGCGGTGATGCTTCAGCAAGAAAAGGCAATAATGTCACAGTGTAATAATGAACAAGTATTTTTCTTGTTTTGGCAGTTAATTTATGAGTAGGGTATCTCCCTGGATTTGGTTCTTTCCCTGTTGACTTTGGTTTCTGCTTCGGTTTATAAATGTGTTTGCTGCTGCTTGATCTAGAGTGTCATCAGAATATTTCTCCTCCAATCTCGTATACGCTTTATTAAAAATTATGTGACATTCATCACTTTGCCAGTGCATAACACAGCTGCTTTTTCAGATTTCTCCACTGATAATCCAAAGAGATATACTGTGGCAATAGTAAATGTTCTAACCGTAGCAAATGCTGTGTTGCTACAAATCCTGTCTCTTGAGTGACATTTAAAATGGTCCCCGGACGCATGAAAAATGTGTCCTTGTATTTTCATTTCAGAAGAAAGCGGGAGGCTTTGGGGGGGCTGCTAGGGTGGCTTTACAGCATTTGTAAAGTTTGTCAACTCCGCTTTAGTTTTGAGCCTGGAATACAGTGTCTTTTAGCAATATCTTTGTGCAAAATGAAAATACCAGCGACATCTTAATGCTAACGAATCCAGCTGGGGTCAGATAGCTCGGGTGGAGTTCTCCTGCGTGTGTCCTCGTGCTGAATTGCTTTCTCCCCTCTGATCCCAGGCCCGCTGCGCTCCATGGTGGAAGATCTGCAGTCAGAGGAGTCGGATGATGATGACAGCTCCTCTGGAGAAGAGGCAGCAGTCAAAGCAAACCCAGTCAGCCGGGATTCCAGGTGGTAACAAATCGGGAACAAAGATGTTTTGTTGTCTTTTTGCCTTCTGTGTTTGGTATTTTTGTGTGCCCTTGGGAGGAATGAAAGTGATGGGGTGATGCATGAGAAGAAAGTGTGAGAGAAGGGAAGAAAGGGCAGATGTCTGGAGTACTTAGCGCAGGCTGGGGACACAGAGACGATGAAAACAGGAGGGTGAGAACAGAATTGAATGAGGAGAGATCACCAGAGCTCAAAGAGAGGAAGCCACTGGGAAGCGGTATGTGTTGAGCCTGCAGGTGTTAGTGACTGAGCTCCTTAAAATAGTTCCCTAATTGTCATCTTCAGATCGTCTTCAGATCTCTGCTGAGCGGAATGGTGTGTGACACCTTTGATCTGCAGAGATGAGAGGAGTGTTGGGGAGGTTGTTGGCGTGTGTGCTCTTCTCACGGCACATGACCGATACAAACCGGAGAAGTCTTCCTCTTTGCCCATAGCGCGTGCTGACGGTTGGTTACTTGACTCCTGTGGGACTTGGTTAACAGCTGTTTCCTGCTTCAGGCAGTGGAAATAGTTGAATTTCATCCTTCTTCCCTCAGGAAATGCTGTTATAGCCAAAACCTGGAGTCTGAGACTGAATATTTTAAACCAAATGCTTGGCCCAGGTAGCAGCTGCAAATTTCAAGTGGTGCTTGTGTTCACCAAAACCAACCAAACAAAAATCCCTTGTTGCACTCTGTCATTATCAATTAAACAGGAATGGAGAGACTTTGAAGGATACTTTAGACCTTTAGGGGGTAGGTAACAGCTTTTCAAGCTCCTCAAAAGTAGGACACTGGCCATAACACATCTGTAGGGCCACAGCAAGAATGAGAATAAACAGGAAATCTCAAAGCTTACAACAGAAATGCCAAATGCTTTTCTTTTTTATTCCTTTTTTTTTTTT